GCAAGGCATGGCATGGCATGGCATGGCATGGCATGGCATGGCATGGCATGGCAAGGCAAGGCAAGGCAAGGCAAGGCAAGGCAAGGCAAGGCAATGCAAGGCAAGGCAAGGCAAGGCAAGGCAAGGCAAGGCAAGGTAAGGTAAGGCAAGGCAAGGCAAGGCAAGGCAAGGCAAGGCAAGGCAAGGCAAGGCAAGGCAAGGCAAGGCAAGACAAGACAAGACAAGGCAAGGCAAGGCAAGGCAAGGCAAGGCAAGGCAAAGCAAGGCAAGGCAAGGCAAGGCAAGGCATGGCCCGCCGAACCCCGCCAAACCAAGGCAAGGCAAAGCAAGGCAAGGCACGGCAAGCCCCGCCAAACCAAGGCAAAGCAAACCAAGCAAGGCAAGGCAAGGCAAGGCAAGGCAAGGCAAGACAAGGCAAGGCAAGGCAAAGCAAGGCAAGGCAAGGCAAGGCAAGGCAAGGCAAGGCAAGGCAAGGCAAGGCAAGGCAAGGCAAGGCATGGCATGGCAGAACAAGGTAATACAAGTCAAGGCAAGGTTAGAAAAGGCAAGTCAAGGCAAGGCAAGGCAAGACGAGGCAAGGCAAGGCAAGGCAAGGCAAGGCAAGGCAAGGCAAGGCAAGGCAAGGCAAGGCAAGGCAAGGCAAGGCAAGGCAAGGCAGGGCAAGGCAAGGCAAGGCAAGGCAAGGCAAGGCGAAGCAAGGCAAGGCAAGGCACTGAAAGGCAAGGCAAGGCAAGGCAAGGCAAGGCAAGGCAAGGCAAGGCAAGGCAAGGCAAGGCAAGGCAAGGCAAGGCAAGGCAAGGCAAGGCAAGGCAATGCAAGGCAAGGCACGGCAAGGCAAGGCACGGCAAGGCAAGGCAAGGCAAGGCAAGGCAAGGCAAGGCAAGACAAGGCAAGGCAAGGCAAGGTAAGGCAAGACAAGACAAGATAATACAAGTCAAGGCAAGGTTAGAAAAGGCAAGGCCAGGCAAGGCAAGGCAATGCGAGACAAGACAAGACAAGGCAAGGCAAGGCAAGGCAAGATAGGGTAATACAAGTCAAGGCAAGGTTAGAAAAGGCAAGGCAAGTCAAGGCAAGGCAAGGCTAGGCAAGGCAAGGCAAGGCAAGGCAAGACAAGGCAAAGCAAGGCAAGGCAAAGCAAGGCAAGGCAAGGCATGGCATGGCAAGGCAAGCCAAAGCAAGGCAAGGCAACTTAGGGCAAGGCAAGGCAAGGCTAGGCGAGGCGAGGTGAGGCAAGGCAAGGCAAGGCAAGGCAAGCCAAGCCAAGCCAAGCCAAGCCAAACCAAAGCAAGGCAAGGCAAGGCAAGGCAAGGCAAGGCAAGAAAAGGCAAGGCATAGCAAGGCAAGCCAAGCCAAGCCCCGCCAAACCAAGGCAAAGCAAGCCAAGTCAATGCAAGGCAAGCGAGGCGAGGCCAGGCCAGGCAAAGTAAGTTAATTCAAGGCAATGCAAGGAAAACAAGACAAGATACGGTATCGCAAGGGAAGGCGAGGCGAGGAAGGCAATGCGAGACGAACAAGGCAAGGCAAGGCAAGGCAAGGCAAGGCAAGGCAAGGCAAGGCAAGACAAGGCAAGGTAATACAAGTCAAGGCAAGGTTAGAAAAGGCAAGACAAGACAAAGCAAGGCAAGGCAAAGCAAGGCAAGGCAAGGCATGGCATGGCATGGCATGGCATGGCAAGGCAAGCCAAAGCAAGGCAAGGCAAGTTAGGGCAAGGCAAGGCTAGGCGAGGCGAGGTGAGGCAAGGCAAGGCAAGGCAAGGCAAGGCAAGCCAAGGCAAGGCAAGGCAAGGCAAGGCAAGGCAAGGCAAGGCCAGCAAGGCAAGACAAACTAAGGTAATTTAAGGTAAGGCAAGGAAAACAAGGCAAGAAACGGTATGGCAAGGGAAGGCAAGGTATGGTAAGGCAATGTGAGACCAATAAAGCAAGAAATGCAAGGCAAGGCAAGGCGAGGCAAGGCACGGCACGGCAAGACAAGGCAAGGGAAGGCACGAAACGGCAAGACAACGCAAGGAAAGGCATTGTAAGGCAAGGCAAGGCAAGGCAAGGCAAGGCAAGGCAAGGCAAGGCAAGGCAAGGCAAGTCAAGGCAAGGCAAGGCAAGGCAAGGCAAGGCAAGACAAGGCAAGGCAAGGCAAAGCAAGGCAAGGCAAGGCAAGGCATGGCATGGCATGGCATGGCATGGCATGGCATGGCAAGGCAAGGCAAGGCAAGGCAAGGCAAGGCAAGGCAAGGCAAGGCAAGGCAAGGCAAGGCAAGGCAAGGCAAGGCAAGGCAAGGCAAGGCAAGGCAAGGCAAGGCAAGGCAATGCAAGGCAAGGCAAGGCAAGGCAAGGCAAGGCAAGGTAAGGTAAGGTAAGGCAAGGCAAGGCAAGGCAAGGCAAGGCAAGGCAAGACAAGACAAGACAAGGCAAGGCAAGGCAAGGCAAGGCAAGGCAAGGCAAGGCAAGGCAAGGCAAGGCAAGGCAAGGCAAGGCAAGGCAAGGCAAGGCAAAGCAAGGCAAGGCAAGGCAAGGCAAGGCATGGCCCGCCGAACCCCGCCAAACCAAGGCAAGGCAAAGCAAGGCAAGGCACGGCAAGCCCCGCCAAACCAAGGCAAAGCAAACCAAGCAAGGCAAGGCAAGGCAAGGCAAGGCAAGGCAAGGCAAGACAAGGCAAGGCAAGGCAAAGCAAGGCAAGGCAAGGCAAGGCAAGGCAAGGCAAGGCAAGGCAAGGCAAGGCAAGGCAAGGCAAGGCAAGGCAAGGCAAGGCAAGGCAAGGCAAGGCATGGCATGGCAGAACAAGGTAATACAAGTCAAGGCAAGGTTAGAAAAGGCAAGTCAAGGCAAGGCAAGGCAAGACGAGGCAAGGCAAGGCAAGGCAAGGCAAGGCAAGGCAAGGCAAGGCAGGGCAAGGCAAGGCAAGGCAAGGCAAGGCAAGGCAAGGCAAGGCAAGGCGAAGCAAGGCAAGGCAAGGCACTGAAAGGCAAGGCAAGGCAAGGCAAGGCAAGGCAAGGCAAGGCAAGGCAAGGCAAGGCAAGGCAAGGCAAGGCAAGGCAAGGCAAGGCAAGGCAAGGCAAGGCAAGGCAAGGTAAGGCAAGGCAAGGCAAGGCAAGGCAAGGCAAGGCAAGGCAATGCAAGGCAAGGCACGGCAAGGCAAGGCAAGGCAAGGCAAGGCAAGGCATGGCTTGGCATGGCATGGCATGGCATGGCAAGGCAAGCCAAAGCAAGGCAAGGCAAGTTAGGGCAAGGCAAGGCAAGGCTAGGCGAGGCGAGGTGAGGCAAGGCAAGGCAAGGCAAGGCAAGGCAAGCCAAGGCAAGGCAAGGCAAGGCAAGGCAAGGCAAGGCCAGCAAGGCAAGACAAACTAAGGTAAATTAAGGTAAGGCAAGGAAAACAAGGCAAGAAACGGTATGGCAAGGGAAGGCAAGGTATGGTAAGGCAATGTGAGACCAATAAAGCAAGAAATGCAAGGCAAGGCAAGGCGAGGCAAGGCACGGCACGGCAAGACAAGGCAAGGGAAGGCACGAAACGGCAAGACAACGCAAGGAAAGGCATTGTAAGGCAAGGCAAGGCAAGGCAAGGCAAGGCAAGGCAAGGCAAGGCAAGGCAAGGCAAGTCAAGGCAAGGCAAGGCAAGGCAAGGCAAGGCAAGACAAGGCAAGGCAAGGCAAAGCAAGACAAGGCAAGGCATGGCATGGCATGGCATGGCATGGCAAGGCAAGGCAAGGCAAGGCAAGGCAAGGCAAGGCAAGGCAAGGCAAGGCAAGGCAAGGCAAGGCAAGGCAAGGCAAGGCAAGGCAAGGCAAGGCAAGGCAAGGCAATGCAAGGCAAGGCAAGGCAAGGCAAGGCAAGGTAAGGTAAGGTAAGGCAAGGCAAGGCAAGGCAAGGCAAGGCAAGGCAAGGCAAGACAAGACAAGACAAGGCAAGGCAAGGCAAGGCAAGGCAAGGCAAGGCAAGGCAAGGCAAGGCAAGGCAAGGCAAGGCAAGGCAAGGCAAGGCAAGGCAAGGCATGGCCCGCCGAACCCCGCCAAACCAAGGCAAGGCAAAGCAAGGCAAGGCACGGCAAGCCCCGCCAAACCAAGGCAAAGCAAACCAAGCAAGGCAAGGCAAGGCAAGGCAAGGCAAGGCAAGACAAGGCAAGGCAAGGCAAAGCAAGGCAAGGCAAGGCAAGGCAAGGCAAGGCAAGGCAAGGCAAGGCAAGGCAAGGCAAGGCAAGGCAAGGCAAGGCAAGGCAAGGCAAGGCAAGGCAAGGCATGGCATGGCAGAACAAGGTAATACAAGTCAAGGCAAGGTTAGAAAAGGCAAGTCAAGGCAAGGCAAGGCAAGACGAGGCAAGGCAAGGCAAGGCAAGGCAAGGCAAGGCAAGGCAAGGCAAGGCAAGGCAAGGCAGGGCAAGGCAAGGCAAGGCAAGGCAAGGCAAGGCAAGGCAAGGCAAGGCAAGGCAAGGCGAAGCAAGGCAAGGCAAGGCACTGAAAGGCAAGGCAAGGCAAGGCAAGGCAAGGCAAGGCAAGGCAAGGCAAGGCAAGGCAAGGCAAGGCAAGGCAATGCAAGGCAAGGCACGGCAAGGCAAGGCAAGGCAAGGCAAGGCAAGGCAAGGCAAGGCAAGGCAAGACAAGGCAAGGCAAGGCAAGGTAAGGCAAGACAAGACAAGATAATACAAGTCAAGGCAAGGTTAGAAAAGGCAAGGCCAGGCAAGGCAAGGCAATGCGAGACAAGACAAGACAAGGCAAGGCAAGGCAAGGCAAGATAGGGTAATACAAGTCAAGGCAAGGTTAGAAAAGGCAAGGCAAGTCAAGGCAAGGCAAGGCTAGGCAAGGCAAGGCAAGGCAAGGCAAGACAAGGCAAAGCAAGGCAAGGCAAAGCAAGGCAAGGCAAGGCAAGGCATGGCATGGCAAGGCAAGCCAAAGCAAGGCAAGGCAACTTAGGGCAAGGCAAGGCAAGGCTAGGCGAGGCGAGGTGAGGCAAGGCAAGGCAAGGCAAGGCAAGGCAAGGCAAGCCAAGCCAAGCCAAGCCAAGCCAAACCAAAGCAAGGCAAGGCAAGGCAAGGCAAGGCAAGAAAAGGCAAGGCATAGCAAGGCAAGCCAAGCCAAGCCCCGCCAAACCAAGGCAAAGCAAGCCAAGTCAAGGCAAGGCAAGCGAGGCGAGGCCAGGCCAGGCAAAGTAAGTTAATTCAAGGCAATGCAAGGAAAACAAGACAAGATACGGTATCGCAAGGGAAGGCGAGGCGAGGAAGGCAATGCGAGACGAACAAGGCAAGGCAAGGCAAGGCAAGGCAAGGCAAGGCAAGGCAAGACAAGGCAAGGTAATACAAGTCAAGGCAAGGTTAGAAAAGGCAAGACAAGACAAAGCAAGGCAAGGCAAAGCAAGGCAAGGCAAGGCATGGCATGGCATGGCATGTCAAGGCAAGCCAAAGCAAGGCAAGGCAAGTTAGGGCAAGGCAAGGCAAGGCTAGGCGAGGCGAGGTGAGGCAAGGCAAGGCAAGGCAAGGCAAGCCAAGCCAAGCCAAGCCAAGCCAAGCCAAGCCAAGCCAAGCCAAGCCAAGCCAAAGCAAGGCAAGGCAAGTCAAAACAAGGCAAGAAAAGGCAAGGCATAGCAAGGAAAGCCAAGCCAAGCCCCGCCAAACCAAGGCAAAGCAAGCCAAGTCAAGGCAAAGCAAGCGAGGCGAGGCCAGGCCAGGCAAACTAAGTTAATTCAAGGCAATGCAAGGAAAACAAGACAAGATACGGTATCGCAAGGGAAGGCAAGGCGAGGAAGGCAATGCGAGACGAACAAGGCAAGGCAAGGCAAGGCAAGGCAAGGCAAGGCAAGGCAAGGCAAGGCAAGGCAAGGCAAGGCAAGGCAAGGTAAGGCAAGGCAAGGCAAGGCAAGGTAAGGCAAGGCAAGGCAAGGCAAGGCAAGGCAAGACGAGGCAAGGCAAGGCAAGGCAAGGCAAGGCAAGGCAAGGCAAGGCAAGGCAAGGCAAGGCAAGGCAAGGCAAGGCAAGGCAAGGCAAGGCAAGGCAAGGCAAGGCAAGGCAAGGCAAGGCAAGGCAAGGCAAGGCAAGGCAAGGCAAGGCAAGGCAAGGCAAGGAAAGGCAAGGCAAGGCAAGGCAAGGCAAGGCAAGGCAAGGCAAGGCAAGGCAAGGCAAGGCAAGGCAAGGCAAGGCAAGGCAAGGCAAGGCAAGGCAAGGCAAGGCAAGGCAAGGCAAGGCAAGGCAAGGCAAGGCAAGGCAAGGCAAGGCAAGGCAAGGCAAGGCAAGGCAACGCAAGGCAAGGCAAGGCAAGGCAAGGCAAGGCAAGGCAAGGCAAGGCAAGGCAAGGCAAGGCAAGACAAAACAAGGCAAGGCAACGCAACGCAAGGCAAGGCAGGGCATGGCATGGCACGGCAAGGCAAGGCAAGGCAAGGCAAGGCAAGGCAAGGCAAGGCAAGGCAAGGCAAGGCAAGGTAAGGTAGGGCAAGGCAAGGCAAGGCAAGGCAAGGCAAGGCAAGGCAAGGTAAGGTAGGGCAAGGCAAGGCAAGGCAAGGCAAGGCAAGGCTAGGCTAGGCGAGGCGAGGCGAGGCGAGGCGAGGTGAGGCAAGGCAAGGCAACGCAAGGCAAGGCAAGCCAAGCCAAGCCAAAGCAAGGCAAGGCAAGTCAAGGCAAGGCAAGAAAAGGCAAGGCATAGCAAGGCAAGCCAAGCCAAGCCAAGCCCCGCCAAATCAAGGCAAAACAAGCCAAGTCAAGGCAAGGCAAGCGAGGCAAGCGAGGCGAGGCCAGGCCAGGCCAGGCCAGTCCAGGCCAGGCAAATTAAGTTAATTCAAGGCAATGCAAGGAAAATAAGACAAGATACGGTATCGCAAGGGAAGGCAAGGAAAGGCAAGGCAAGGCAAGGCAAGGCAAGGCAAGGCAAGGCAAGGCAAGGCAAGGCAAGGCAAGGCAAGGCAAGGCAAGGCAAGGCAAGGCAAGGCAAGGCAAGGCAATTCAAGGCAAGGCAAGGCAAGACAAGACAAGGCAAGGCAAGGCATGGCATGGCAAGGCAAGGCAAGGCAAGGTAGGGCAAGGCAAGGCAAGGCAAGGCAAGGCAAGGCAAGGCAAGGCAAGGCAAATCAAGGCAAGGCAAGGCAAGGCAAGGCAAGGCAAGGCAAGGCAAGGCAAGGCAAGGCAAGGCAAGGCAAGGCAAGGCAAGGCAATTCAAGGCAATGCAAGGCAAAGCAAGACAAGACAAGGCAATGCAAGGAAAATAAGACAAGATACGGTATCGCAAGGGAAGGCGAGGCAAGGGAGGCAATGCGAGACGAACAAGGCAAGGCAAGGCAAGGCAAGGCAAGGCAAGGCAAGGCAAGGCAAGGCAAGGCAAGGCAAGGCAAGGCAAGTCAAGGCAAGGCAAGGCAAGGCAAGGCAAGGCAAAGCAAGGCAAGGAAAGGCAAGGCAAGGCAAGGTAAGGCAAGGCAATTCAAGGCAAGGCAAGGCAAGGCAAGACAAGACAAGGCAAGGCAAGGCAAGGCAAGGCAAGGCAAGGCAAGGCAAGACAAGACAAGACAAGGCAAGGCAAGGCAAGGCAAGGAAGGCAAGACAAGACAAGACAAGACAAGACAAGGCAAGGCAAGGCAAAGCAAGGCAAGGCAAGGCATGGCATGGCAAGGCAAGGCAAGGCAAGGCAAGGTAGGGCAAGGCAAGGCAAGGCTATTCGAGGCGAGGCGAGGCAAGGCAAGGCAAGGCAAAGTAAGTTAATTCAAGGCAATGCAAGGAAAACAAGACAAGATACGGTATCGCAAGGGAAGGCGAGGCAAGGCAGGCACTGCGAGACGAACAAGGCAAGGCAAGGCAAGGCAAGGCAAGGCAAGGCTAGGCAAGGCAAGACGAGGCAAGGCAAGGCAAGCCAAATCAAGGCAAGGCAATGCAATGCAATGCAAAGCAAGGCAAGGCAAGGCAAGGCAAGGCAAGGCAAGGCAAGGCAATGCAAGGCAATGCAAAGCAAGGCGAGGCAAGGCAAGACAAGGCAAGGCAAGGCAAGGCAAGGCAAGGCAAGGCAAGACAAGGTAATACAAGTCAAGGCAAGGTTAGAAAAGGCAAGGCAAGGCAAGACAAGGCGAAGCAAGGCAAGGCAAGGCAAGGCAAGGCAAGGCAAGGCAAGGCAAGGCAAGGCAAGGCAAGGCAAGGCAAGTCAAGGCGAGGCAAAGCAAAGCAAGGCAAGGCAATGCAAGGCAAGGCAAGGCAAGGTAAGGCAAGGCAAGGCAAGGCAAGGCAAGGCAAGGCAAGGCAAGGCAAGGCAAGGCAAGGCAAGGCAAGGCAAGGCAAGGCAAGGCAAGGCAAGGCAAGGCAAGGCAAGGCAAGGCAAGGCAAGGCAAGGCAAGGCAAGGCAAGGCAAGGCAAGGCAAGGCAAGGCAAGGCAAGGCAAGGCAATGCAAGGCAAGGCAGGGCAAGGCAAGAAAAGACAAGACAAGACAAGACAAGACAAGACAAGACAAGACAAGACAAGACAAGACAAGACAAGACAATACAAGACAAGACAAGACAAGACAAGACAAGACAAGACAAGACAAGACAAGACAAGACAAGACAAGACAAGACAAGGCAAGACAAGGCAAGGCACAGCAAGGCAAGGTAAGGCAAGGCATGGCATGGCAAGGCAAGGCAAGGCAAGGTAGGGCAAGGCAAGGCAAGGCTTGTCGAGGCGAGGCGAGGCGAGGCAAGGCAAGGCAAGGCAAAGTAAGTTAATTCAAGGCAATGCAAGGAAAACAAGACAAGATACGGTATCGCAAGGGAAGGCGAGGCCAGGCAGGCACTGCGAGACGAACAAGGCAAGGCAAGGCAAGGCTAGGCAAGGCAAGACGAGACAAGGCAAGGCAAATCAAGGCAAGGCAATGCAATGCAATGCAAGGCAAGGCAAGGCAAGGCAATGCAAGGCAATGCAAAGCAAGGCGAGGCAAGGCAAGACAAGGCAAGGCAAGGCAAGGCAAGGCAAGGCAAGGCAAGGCAAGACAAGGTAATACAAGTCAAGGCAAGGTTAGAAAAGGCAAGGCAAGGCAAGGCAAGGCAGAGCAAGGCAAGGCAAGGCAAGGCAAGGCAAGGCAAGGCAAGGCAAGGCAAGGCAAGGCAAGGCAAGTCAAGGCAAGGCAAGGCAAGGCAAAGCAAAGCAAGGCAAGGCAAGGCAAGGCAAGGCAAGGCAAGGCAAGGCAAGGCAAGGCAAGGCAAGGCAAGGCAAGGCAAGACAAGACAAGACAAGACAAGACAAGACAAGACAAGACAAGACAAGACAAGACAAGACAAGACAAGACAAGACAAGACAAGACAAGACAAGACAAGACAAGACAAGACAAGACAAGACAAGACAAGACAAGACAAGACAAGACAAGACAAGACAAGACAAGACAAGGCAAGGCAAGGCAAGGCAAGGCAAGGCAAGGCACAGCAAGGCAAGGTAAGGCAAGGCAAGGCAAGGCAAGGCAAGGCAGGCAAGGCAAGCAAGGCAAGGCAAGGCAAGGCAAGGCAAGGCATGGCATGGCAAGGCAAGGCAAGGCAAGGCTAGCCGAGGCGAGGCGAGGCAAGGCAAGGCAAGCCAAGCCAAGCCAAGGCAAGGCAAGTCAAGACAAGGCAAGCCAAGCCCCGCTAAAGCAAGGCAAAGCGAGCCAAGTCAAGGCAAGGCAAGTCGAGGCGAAGCGAGGCGAGGCCAGGCCAGGCAAGGCAAAGTAAGTTAATTCAAGGCAATGCAAGGAAAACAAGACAAGATACGGTATCGCAAGGGAAGGCGAGGCAAGGGAGGCAATGCGAGACGAACAAGGCAAGGCAAGGCAAGGCAAGGCAATGCAAGGCAAGGCAAGGCAAGGCAGGGCAAGGCAAGGCAAGGCAAGGCAAGGCAAGGCAAGGCAAGGCAAGGCAAGGCAAGGCAAGGCAAGGCAAGGCAAGGCAAGGCAAGGCAAGACGAGGCAAGGCAAGGCAAGGCAACGCAACGCAAGGCAAGGCAAGGCAAAGCAAGGCAAGGCAAGGCAAGGCAAGGCAAGGCAAGGCAAGGCAAGGCAAGGCAAGGCAAGGCAAGGCAAGGCAAGGCAAGGCAAGGCAAGGCAAGGCAAGGCAAGGCTATGCAATGCAAGGCAAGGCAAGGCAAGGCAAGGCAAGGCAAAACAATGCAAGGCAAGGCAAGCCAAGCCAAGGCAAGGCAAGTCAAGACAAGGCAAGCCAAGTCCCGCCAAACCAAGGCAAAGCGAGCCAAGTCAAGGCAAGGCAAGTCGAGGCGAGGCGAGGCGAGGCCAGGCCAGGTCAGACCAGGCCAGTCCAGGCAAGGCAAAGTAAGTTAAGTCAAGGCAATGCAAGGAAAACAAGACAAGATACGGTATCGCAAGGGAAGGCGAGGCAAGGGAGGCAATGCGAGACGAACAAGGCAAGGCAAGGCAAGGCAAGGCAAGGCAAGGCAAGGCAATGCAAGGCAAGGCAAGGCAAGACGATGCAAGGCAAGGCAAGGCAACGCAAGGCAAGGCAAGGCAAAGCAAGGCAAGGCAAGGCATGGCAAGGCAAGGCAAGGCAAGGCAAGGCAAGGCAAGGCAAGACAAGACAAGACAAGGCAAGGCAAGGCAAAGCAAGGCACGGCAAGGCAAGGCAAGGCAAGGCATGGCAAGGCAAGGCAATGTAGGGCAAGGCAAGGCAAGGCAAGGCAAGACAAGGCAAGACAAGGCAAGGCAAGGCAAGGCAAGCCAAGCCAAGCCAAGCCAAGGCAAGGCAAGGCAAGGCAAGGCAAGGCAAGACAAGGCAAGACAAGACAAGACAAGACAAGATAAGGCAAGGCAAAGCAAGGCAAGGCAAGGCATGGCAAGGCAAGGCAAGTCAAGTCAAGGCAAGGCAAGTCAAGGCAAGGCAAGGCAAGGCTAAGCAAGGCAAGGCAAGGCCAGGCAAGGCAAGAAAAAGCAAGGCAAGGCAAGTCAAGGCAAGGCAAGGCAAGGCTAAGCAAGGCAAGGCAAGGCCAGGCAAGGCAAGACAAGGTAATACGAGTCAAGGCAAGGTTAAAAAAGGCAAGGCAAGGCAAGGCAAAGCAAGGCAAAGCAAGGCAAGGTAAACCAAGGCCCGGTACGACGAGGCAAGACAAGGCAGGGCAAAACAAATCAAGGCAAGGCAAAACAAGACAAGTCAAGACAAAACAAGACAAGGCAATGCAAGGCAATGCAAAGCAAGACAAGACAATGCAAGGCAAAGCAAATCAAGGCAGCACAAACCAAGGCTAGTCTTGGCAAGACAATGCAAGACAAGGCAAGACAAGGCAAGGCAAGAAGAAAAAGCAAACGGTAAAGTAATGCACGGCAAGGCAACGCAAGGCAAGGCAAGACCAGGCAAGGAGAGGCAAGGTAGGCCAAGTCCCGGTACGACAAGGAAAAGGCAGGGAAAAGTAGGGTAAGGCAATGCACGACAAAGCAAGACCAGGTAAGCCCAAGGCCCGGTACGATAAGGCAAGACAAGGCAAGACAAGGCAGGGCAAGACAAAGCAAGGCAAGGCAGATCAAGGCAAGGCAAGGCAAGGAAGACAAAGCAAGTTACTGTAAAGCAATGCACGGCAAGGCAAGGCAAGGCAAGGCAAGGCAAGGCAAGACAAGACAAGACAAGACAAGACAAGGCAAGACAAGGCAAGGCAAGGCAAGGCAAGGCAAGGCAAGGCAAGGCAAGGCAAGGCATGGCAAGGCAAAGCAAGGCAAGGCAAGATAAACCAAGGCCTGGTACGAGAAGGCAAGACAAGGCAGGGCAAAACAAATCAAGGCAAGGCAAAACAAGACAAGTCAAGACGAAACAAGACAAGGCAATGCAAAGCAATGCAAAGCAAGACAAGACAATGCAAGGAAAAGCAAATCAAGGCAGCACAAACCAAGGCTAGGCTTGGCAAGACAATGCAAGACAAGGCAGGCAAGAAAAAAAATCGCTAAAGTAATGCACGGCAAGGCAACGCAACGCAAGGCAAGACCAGGCAAGGCGATGCAAGATAAGCCAAGTCCCGGTACGACAAGGCAAGACAAGGCAAGACAAGGCAGGGCAAGACAAAGCAAGGCAAGGCAAGACACGGCAAGGCACAGTAAAGCAATGCAGGCAAGGCAAGGCACTGTAAGCCAAGGCCCGGTACGACAAGGCAAGACAAGGCTGGGCAAGACAAACCAGGGCAACGCAAATCAACTCAATGCATGGCAAGACCAGGCAAGGCGATGCAAGATAAGCCAAGTCCCGGTACGACAAGGCAAGGTAAGGCAAGGCAAGGCAAGGCAAGGCAAGGTAAGGCAAGGCAAGGCAAGGCAAGGCAAGGCAAGGCAAGGCAAGGCAAGGCAAGGCAAGGCAAGGCAAGGTAAGGTAAGGCAAGGCAAGGCAAGGCAAGGCAAGGCAAGGCAAGGCAAGGCAAGGCAAGGCAAGGCAAGGCAAGGCAAGGCAAGGCATGGCAAGGCAAGGCAAGGCAAGGCAAGGCAAGACAAGGCAAGGCAAGGCAAGGCAAGGCAAGGCAAAGCAAGGCACGGCAAGGCAAGGCAAGGCAAGGCATGGCAAGGCAAGGCAAGGCAATGTAGGGCAAGGCAAGGCAAGGCAAGGCAAGGCAAGACAAGGCAAGGCAAGGCAAGGCAAAGCAAGGCAAGGCAAGGCAAGGCAAGACAAGGTAATACGTGCCAAGGCAAGGTTAGAAAAGGCAAGTCAAGGCAAGGCAAGGCAAGGCAAGGCAAGGCAAGGCAAGCCAAGCCAAGCCAAGCCAAGCCAAGCCAAGCCAAGGCAAGGCAAGGCAAGGCAAGGCAAGGCAAGGCAAGGCAAGGCAAGACAAGACAAGACAAGATAAGGCAAGGCAAAGCAAGGGAAGGCAAGACATGGCAAGGCAAGGCAAGTCAAGTCAAGGCAAGTCAAGGCAAGGCAAGGCAAGGCAAAGCAAGGCAAGGCCAGGCAAGGCAATACAAGGTAATACGAGTCAAGGCAAGGTTAAAAAAGGCAAGGCAAGACAAGGCAAGGCAAGGCAAGACAAGGTAATACGAGTCAAGGCAAGGTTAAAAAAGGCAAGGCAAGGCAAGGCAAGGCAAGGTAGGGCAAGGCAAGGCAAGGCAAGACAAGGCAAGGCAAAGCAAGGCAAAGCAAGGCAATGCAAAGCAAGACAAGACAATGCAAGGCAAAGCAAATCAAGGCAGCACAAACCAAGGCTAGTCTTGGCAAGACAATGCAAGACAAGGCAAGAGAAGGCAAGGCAAGAAAAAAAAGCAAACGGTAAAGTAATGCACGGCAAGGCAACGCAAGGCAAGGCAAGACCAGGCAAGGAGAGGCAAGGTAAGCCAAGTCCCGGTACGACAAGGACAAGGCAGGACAAGACAAAGCAAGGCAAGGCAAAACAAGGAAAAGCAGGGTAAGGCAATGCACGACAAAGCAAGACAAGGTAAGCCCAAGGCCCGGTACGATAAGGCAAGACAAGGCAAAGCAAGGCAAGGCAAGATAAACCAAGGCCTGGTACGAGAAGGCAAGACAAGGCAGGGCAAAACAAATCAAGGCAAGGCAAAACAAGACAAGTCAAGACAAAACAAGACAAGGCAATGCAAGGCAATGCAAAGCAAGACAAGACAATGCAAGGCAAAGCAAATCAAGGTAGCACAAACCAAGGCTAGTCTTGGCAAGACAATGCAAGACAAGGCAAGACAAGGCAAGGCAAGAAAAAAAAGCAAACGGTAAAGTAATGCACGGCAAGGCAACGCAAGGCAAGGCAAGACCAGGCAAGGAGAGGCAAGGTAAGCCAAGTCCCGGTACGACAAGGACAAGGCAGGACAAGACAAAGCAAGGCAAGGCAAAACAAGGAAAAGCAGGGTAAGGCAATGCACGACAAAGCAAGACAAGGTAAGCCCAAGGCCCGGTACGATAAGGCAAGACAAGGCAAAGCAAGGCAAGGCAAGATAAACCAAGGCCTGGTACGAGAAGGCAAGACAAGGCAGGGCAAAACAAATCAAGGCAAGGCAAAACAAGACAAGTCAAGACGAAACAAGACAAGGCAATGCAAGGCAATGCAAAGCAAGACAAGACAATGCAAGGAAAAGCAAATCAAGGCAGCACAAACTAAGGCTAGGCTTGGCAAGACAATGCAAGACAAGGCAAGGCAAGAAAAAAAATCGGTAAAGTAATGCACGGCAAGGCAACGCAACGCAAGGCAAGACCAGGCAAGGCGATGCAAGATAAGCCAAGTCCCGGTACGACAATGCAAGACAAGGCAAGACAAGGCAGGGCAAGACAAAGCAAGGCAAGGCAAGACAAGGCAAGGCACGGTAAAGCAATGCAGAGAAGGCAAGGCACTGTAAGCCAAGGCCCGGTACGACAAGGCAAGACAAGGCTGGGCAAGACAAAACAAGGCAACGCAAATCAAC